CATAATAATACAAGTAAAATCAATGTCCAGGACAGAGTAAGTATATAATATAAATTGAATTTGTAGGTCTGACGATTTGGATCGTGATTACGATTCCAATGTAATAAAATGATAACCATGGAATATTAGTGTTTGAGCGTTTTATATTTTATATCTATCTATCTATCTATCTCATATATATATATATATATATATATATATATATATAGAGAGAGAGAGAGAGAGAGAGAGAGAAGACAAGAAAAACCACGGAAAGGAGAAATAAGGTAGACATCTAGACATGGGCAGGGGTATACATGCGCCCATGCACACACATACACCCGCAAATACACAGGCACGTACACACAATGAAAAAAGAACATAAAAACCAGTCTTGCATACGTGCATGAATTATTTTTAACTCAATATAAAACAAAAAATGAAAATAAACAGTCAATTGTGGACATCCCTTGAGGAGTGGAAGGATCAATTCCTGGAGAAGTGTTGGGATGCAGGAGGTAATATCAATCAACTAAGTGATAAATTTTATATTTATATTAAAACGCTCTCTGTCTGTATATATATATATATAAATATATATATATATATATATATATATATATATATATATATATATAACGTAACACAACTTTATTTAGTAAAGATCAACTATGATAAAGATGTCACTTAAAATTGAAAGTAACGTTAGATAGATCGATCAACGTATGGATAGGGATCCGATAAAATGTTATATATATATATATATATATATATATATATATATATATATATATATATATATATATATATATATATGTGTGGAAAAAATTATATAAATATAAATAAATATATATATGTATAATTATTTATATATATATGCGCGGTACTTATTTAGAAAGCGCTCAATATCAGAGATAGAGCTAACATATATATATATATATATCATATATATATATATATATATATAATATATCTTTCAATTATTGTTTTATAGAAAAAGTGTATATTTTAAAAGCAAGATAAACCACAACGTTTTAGTTAAAATATGTAAATTTCAACCCAGAATCACGTATAGCAGAATTATGAAAAATATAGTATAATATATATCTTGAAATAAAAAAAAACATCCACATTTCAACCCAACACGTTTGCTGTTTATCTTCTTTTTATATATATATATATATATATGTGTGTGTGTGTGTGTGTGTGTGTGTGTGTGTTAAAATGTGTGTGTGTATGTGTATGTGGGTGTGTGGGTGATATTGTGTAGGTATGTTCTGTATAAACCGATTTTTTATATTGAAACATAATGTTTCAATATAAAACGTATTAAAATTAACTGTTGCCTGTCCGCTGTTTCACTTTTACCACATTCGGCTTTTTTATGGCGCTTATTTTTTTTTTTTTTTGTTTGGTAAAATTTTATCTCTAACGTTTTAGCGATCCCATAGTTTAACAACATTATTTTGTAATGAAAGAAGGTATTCTATATTATTCTTGACGTAAAGCGACCGTTGTGGTGGGGGGTACGAAATTATTGTAATTACAACGCATTTTAGTCTTAATCGATTTCTTTCACTTTCAGTTAAAACGAGAAAGTTGAACGTATGATCAAACCTTTTATAATGAAAGACTGATGCATCAAACGTATTGACTTGTATAAATCTAATACATGAAATGTATTCACATTTAGGCTTATATAATAATTTATTTCTCTCCCGAGATGTCTTACATATGTATTTCATGTGACATCTCTTTTTTTGTATCTTATTTTGTAAATTCCTATTTCAGATATATGTATATAAGTTACTAGCAGTAGAGCCCGGCGTTGCCCGGGGATGTAACAGTAAGAGATAGATCAAGTATCGACCATTATAAAGACTGAAAAATAAAATTAACAAAGATTATTGTTTAAGGTTGACGGACACGCATGTCCTAATTAGTTTTTTTTTGTTTTTGTTTTTTTACGAATTGGTCAAACCCAAACTCAAACAAAATCATTGTTTTCAATCGTTATGAGTCTATCGATTGAATAGAATTTTATTATAAACAATTGTCTTGTAAATGGAATTTTTACAGCATTCTGAATGTAAAAATAAAGAAAAAAGTGTGCAAGACAATAAGAAACACTACCTGCCAAAAAAAAGTGAATTTTTGTTGAAATCGTTTGAAAAATGTAGGAAATCCGATCCCATATATAAACACACACACACACACACCTGGGTTTTATAAGTATAACTCGATATGAGTTGTGACCTTTTCATGCCTCTTAATCGTATTTTCAAATTGATTTCGTGCAAAAACAATTGTGTTTTTTCCAATTTTTGGCCCTGTCAAACCACCTTTTATAATTTTAAAAAAACTGAAGTTTTGTTGAAATCCCTTGAAAAATGTAGGAAATCCGATCCAATATATAAACGAAGGACACACACACACACACACAGCGAAGGTCCATTGTAGGACGTAGTCCTTACCTAGGTTCGGATCCGATTCAATGTTTGTGACACGCTTGGGTGCTTATATCTTTTTCCGATTCATGATCGTCCAATGGTATTTGCTCGTAAGCGAATGTAACGAACTTGAATTCGAACACAACTCTGAAATTTCTTTTCCCGAGCCGTTATGTATTACCCACCCATCTGCGAATACAGCACCTGATATTCTGTTGTAGTGGAAGACACCTATTCTATAGTTAATAGTCTCTCCCACCTATAATAAGTAGGAATAGTAAGAGTAACGAGGGAGTCGCTCAGTGAGTTGGTCAGTCAGTCGATATCGGACGAACGTTAGTCGGATATTAAAGTATCAGCCACCCCAACTCGATTACTGCGTCATTACCTATTATATGAAGTTCCTAACGTTTTGTGCGTCGAACCTATTTTAGGACCGACTTAGTACAAATACAAGCCTCCACTGTGAAACCACTACATAACAACTTGTCGACGAGGGATTCGAACTCATACGGAGGAAGAAAAACCTTTCGCACACTACATAACATATTCCCAAGCAGTCACCCATCTAGTTATTGACGAGGGTCGATGTTGCTTCATCGGTGATAGGACGGGAACTGATGTTTCATCTTTACATGGCCATAAGTTTATATGGATATAGATATATGCTTAAATAAATCTCTTAAAATATTTACATAACTTTTTAAAGATATTTTATGTAATCTATTTTTTTTTTTGTTCTTTTATATATTTTTTGTACTTTTATATCATAAAACCCTTGAGCACCTCTGGTTTAAAGGTTAGTAGACTTGTCTAGGATAGAGCCATTGGTAGTGAGTTCGATCATCAGTATGTGCTCTGTTTTTGGCCTTGTGCAACATTTAAGCTTCGCTTAGAAAATCGCTACATCATAGATCCCGTGAAGTATCCTTTTAGTTGTTTTTCAGTTAAGTTCACAATTTTTTATAGTGTGCTTTAACCTGTACAAAGTCTCTGAATCACTTGAGCAGAGTTAAGTGGCAAAGTTTATGCGGATATATAGGGAAGATTATAGTTAGCCTTTGAATTGAACAGGTTAAGATTGTAGTGATCGGGAAAACATCTTCTTGAGTGTGGGTTCCCCAGAGAAATGGTTGGCGGGAAGAAACTGCGCGAGTACAACTTTCTTCTCACCAATGGAATACGAAAGGAATGAGGGTGGTCCCTTCAATGTGCGTAACATGGTGGTTCATATCCATAAATGTTGGAACTTAAAGAATGTAGTTCGTTTGAGTATTTTCCATGGCAATAGTGATCGGGTAGAGAGAGGCTCGCGACGTTTCGTATGTGAGAGATATGCTGTAAGGTGGAAAATAATTGGTCACCCACAAGGACGCTGAGACGCTTTTGAACTCTATCGAGAGTAAGTGAGGACTGTTTAAATAATAGGAATACTTTTAAGATGTTTCCATGTTTCAGCTGACCAGGGAATAATATTTACACATAACCCATTACAAGAATGATGAAAGAATGTTAGCGTATAAAGATATACATTGTCATTCGTGGGCTTGCAATGATTCAAATCTGAGTTGAGTTAATTTAAAATCTCTGGATCTGAGACAATTCAAACAGTCGTACTGTGAAAAACACTTATGATATCTCATGTAGAGATTGTAGTTGTATGTAGTCAGTATTAGTTCTACTGTCCAAGTATCATTCACTGTTTGTTCGACAGTCCAACAGTTGCTTTTTACAACTCTATTTGATTGTGGATGATATGGTGGGGATTTATATGGGGTACATATAATTTTCGTTAACCGAGAATAGATTTTCGTCGCATAATTCTGGATCATAAGCTGATACTAATATTTTTGTTACTCTATTTTGAGCAAATGTTACTCGTAATATTTGCCTCAATGTACCAGTTTTCCATCGTGAACGCAGCCACTTCCGATCAGCCAGAAAAAGAGTCAACCAAAATAAAACAAAATCCCACGCTGTTAACCTGTGTGTGGTCCATATGAGGGCGAGAACAAAGTTCTGTCTCCTTAGGCCATGTGGGTACTTTATTCGGGCGATTTTTTTTCATTAGATTTCGGATGTTTGTGTTCGTGATTTTAAACATCGCCTGCATATCCAAGCATCATGCTTCTAATTCCTATTGCTTCCCTGTTGCTGTATTTCCACAAGGTATACTGTCATGCACTTTTTATTAAATCGTTTCTACGTATTTTTCAGGTGTTACTATTAAATCTTTATTAATTGCAGCATCATTTTCTGTAGTTAATTTATGTCTAATTTCTTTCTATTACCTTTGACCTTTAGAATTTTTTTTTTTTTTGATTTATTAGATTGTAACATTCTTTGTTCTAGTAAGGACTGTAAAGCAGTCTATCCAGTTTCAGCAAAATGTGGGTCTTCTACATGCAACAAAGATCCTACCGGCAACGTCATATGGTTATGATATTTCAAGTAAGACTTCAATTGTATGCAGACAATATGGAATGTACAATTCAAGTAGCATTCTTTCTACAAAAGTCTTACTGCTAAGGACAGTTCTGGTGTATTAACAGTTATTTTTTCTTCTGTAGATCAAGCTCCAGTGAACGCGGGTAGCGTGTAGGAAAGCAATAACAAATGAGATAAGTCGATAATAACTGCCTCATTGTAAACTGTCTCGAAATAACTCACGTCAAGGATAGATGAACTGATTATTCGACCAGTGATCGAGAGCATCTCGGTCCCTTCAATGTTGTGGTCAGTAAGAAGGCTGACGAATGGCCATTAGATTTTAGGGGACGTGCTATAAAATCGCTTCCCAACGATAAGCGTACGATAAGAGCATTAAAAAATGCATCTCACTGGGTATTGTCTAGGAGTCGCGCGAAGAAGGAATGATTGAAATTGTTATTTGATGAAGAGTCGAGACTGTATAAAATACATCAGTTCAGTTACTAAGAAGACTGGGGAAAAATCATGAGATATAAAGAGACTTGCTCGAAATCGCTTCCTAGTGAAATTCAACACGTACCGTGTGTGTAAACCTGTAATAATAATTTTCTCAATGAGAACTGCTTTCAGAGCCGTCCAAAGAAGGTAAGGTTAAATTGGGTCGTCTTTGTGTGTAATAATGGAAAAAGTAGTCGGTAAACAGACTAACCATTCCAAGCGAGGCTTGATCCGTTTGTTTTAAACAAAGGATAGGGGGGCTTTAAAACGTGCCGGATTATTGTAATATTGGAGAGAGCAGCAAGGTATCAAGAATAGTGCAAGAAGTTTGAAAGCACGCAGGGGAAACTTAAAGAAAGATTAAGACGACAGGAGAATTGCAAACATCAAGAAAACAACTAAAATATTAAAAACCTATCTAACACGGAAATCTCTTGCAATTTTGCAGACATGTAGTATTTTGGTTGGAGGTATATGTGACGCTGCGGCGCTGTTACTCCAACTTTGCAATCAAATATTTCCCTTGCTCCAAATTGATGGCTCAGTAGGTATAGTTGAAATATATCATACTGGACAACTAATATTGAATAATTTTTCTTCACTTAACAATATATATAGAAATATAAAAATACTTCTCTTATTATTGCAAATAATTGAGAACCATTAATATAGATGATGAATTCACATTCTAATATAGTCCTAGCAAGTTGTGGAGAAGCTAAAAAACGTGTATATGCAATCCCTGTGTAAACTTGCAACAACGTTAAACCTGAAAGACAGGTGGAGTATTGGTAGTATACAAACCAACAAGGCAACTGATAAAATACGAAGAAAAGCATTGGATTATTTTTGTTTATTGGTGGATTTTTGTTTAGCGACATATCAACTAGAATGGGTAATGCCGAAATCGAAATATTTCGATCACTATTTTATGGGTTCATCTAAAGATAAAATATACTTTTGGTATTTTGCTATAGAATGTATTGTTGGTTAGTTCTACTATAAATATGTATTGTTGGTAATTTTACTATAAAAATGTATTTTTATACGTTTACTTTTTTGCCATAGCTGGGACCCTAACAGTTGCTACGATTCTTGCTCAGGGTGGACTTTGGAACAACAAGAATTAAGTGGTTGTTGGAGTAATAGAATTATGCAAACGATGTAAATATACTAAAACACTATAGAAATATGCTAATAAATTTTTTCAATAACTGAAATAAGAATGGTAGTGTATTATAGATATTATTATATACATCAGTAGAGCCAAATAAAAGATTCTTAAAGACTAAATGCTCTCTATATTGAAACAGTTCAGATTATAGATAGAGTTGTCTTCTTTGTTTATCTTTTATTATTGTTACTTTCAATAAGAAAGATCAATAAGTTCATTACTAAAGTATTAAAACCATTTATACACTATGTAGACTAATAAAGTAACCGATTATTGAAATTATCAAGTTCTTGCCTAATAATACGATCTGTTGAAAGATATTAGCAAAAAGAAACTATAGCTAAAATATTAAAACAGGTGCCAAAATTCCACTAAAAGAGTAAATTTAACAAAATTAACCGATCAGTTGGTTAAAAGATCGGATGTTTCAGGAACATGCAAAGAATTTTTTTTTGCCGTTGTTCAATCCATTGATCTGGTGTTTATTCACCTGATAACCCCAGCTATGGGCAAAAAAGTGAATCCCAAACATTCGGAAATTATAAAAAAAGTATTGGTGAATCCCAAGGAAATTATTATAAGACGGTCTCTGGTAAGATGATACCACAAACAATGAGGAAATATTAAGAAGAGGTAAAAGTTAAGAAATACAAAGGCCTTTGCGCATGTACGTAATAAAATGAAGATATGAACTGTCACTTTAGCTTCTCGAAAGACATTTTATAAGCTGGAAATACAGAGGTTGAAATATGAATGCTAAAGTTAGCATACATAGTCAAATAATGTTGCTATTTTTTTTTAATATAGAATATTATAGTCTACAGGGTAGTCTGAATGTCTTTTCAAAACCATATAATATACTTAATGAGATTTCCTAACGCTCATTAGGGACTGTCAAGCAGAGGGTTTAACATGAACAATACCAGAATTCTCATCAGCTGAAGGACCCAGTTCGAATAGCCTTTGTAACAATCAGCAAAGCACAGCTTCGTAAATATCACACAAGATATGGCACTGCATCATTTTGTGCCACGAAAATGATAGTGTTCATACAGTCCTTTTCGATGTGTGACAAATTCAATAAGAGAATTAATTGAATCCTGAACACCTGCTTTGTATTTCTGAATTACTTGATCTTCTATTGTTACCATTACTTTTTGTATGGGGTGACAAGACTTTAGAATCACCCTGTACACTCAGAAACAAGAACTATCTTTTCGGTGAATATATCAATTATTATTATTATTTTCATTATTAAACAAAATGATTGACGTAAATCTTCCAATATTTTTCAACACTTTAGTGAAGAGCTCGATTTAAGAAAAGGCAAAGAAATGAAAAATGAGAGTGTTTGGAAATGTTAGGTAATATTTCAGCAGTATGTCTCCCTTCTTCAAGTTATATTTTTGGAATAATTTTCAAGTATAAAAATATATAAATCTACAAACAATTATAAGTCCTTGTATAAACGACGTTTGTCATGGAATGAAAAAAAAACCGACTCTATCGATAATAAACGCGTCAAATCGAATAAATTCCCGCCAGCGTGAAGTCATGCAACTGAAACGTGCTTAATATGATGGTGAATTTTTCGTGTGTTGATTAGCTACTAAGGCGAATGAATCAAACAGCTTAGTATAAATCTTATGGAACTCCCTCCGTCTTTCTGTTCATTTCTCCGAGGCGGAGTTAGTAATCTCAATACGTAACTATCTTATAATAATAATAATATAATAATAATAATAATAATATTTAAGCTCAAGTAAGATAAGTGGTAATTGAATTGACTAAATGCAACCGTAAGTTCTATGCTAACAGTTTTTCTCTCGCCCCTTCTTGCTTGCAGAACTCTTTTCCGGCGCCATGCTTTCGAGTCAGCTTTGATCTTTTAACATTTAAATACAATGCCAGTCGTTCTCTACTGTCTTCTTAATTCACTCTTCTATTAGTTTCTGAGTTAATACTGTTTCTACTTTTTCTTAGTTTTTACAGTCAGTAATCGCTTGTATCTAATGATTTACTGCCTTACATGGGGTAATATGATTAAATAATAATAATAATAATAATAATAATAGTAATAATAATTAAGCTCAGTACTATATAGGTGGTAATTGAATTGACTAGATGTAACCGCAAGTTCTATGGTAACATCATCTTTCCTCGCAAAATCTAAAAAATAGAACCCCTTCCGGCTCCATGCTTTCGAGCCAACTTTGATTAGTTACTAAAAGAAATTAATAAAAATGCTTAGTATAAATCTTATGGAAGTCTGCTGTCGTTTTCTTCAATACCCCGGAGAGGGAAGTTAGTAATTTACATACGTAACTATCTTCATGAGACTTAAGGGTCGACAAGTCAGACAATTCTGAATATTTTTTTCAGATTGTGCAACTTAAGATGCTTGTCAAAATGACAGTCGTTTGTATTAAAATGTTTCTCAAGCTCGTTGATGAAATGTTGTGTCTGACATCTTACTGAATGGATATTGAATCTATTATTTATTTTTTTTCCGCTGTTCAGTCTACATTGTATTAATTTAAACTTTTCATGCAATTTATTATTATTATTATTATAAACACTTTTAGAGTACTTCAGAGCTTTTATATAACTGACTCTTCCAAAGTTTGAAATGTCCATGAGTTGAAAATGATAATACATTCAGCAACAACACCTATAGTAATAACAAATCAAAGACAAGCGGTCAGAAAGACTACGAACAATAACAACAAAACTAATTCCATGAATAAGAACAACTCGAAAACAAACAAGAAATCCATTACCAGCATAAGCATCAGGGACATTAACAACAGCAAAAACAAAAATTGTAATGTTTAATAATAGTCGTTTTCATTAAATGTAAATATTCAACGTTCATGGACACAAGCACCGGTTCTAAAATCGGATGAAATTTATAAAATCATTTCGTTACAATAATTTTGCAGAAAAAAATAGGTTTCTCAATGTCAGTAATTTTTTTTTTGCTCTTTCCAGTAACTATGGGGGCTTCCTTCCTAACCTTTTCTTTGAATGAGATAGATAGATAGATAGATAGATAGATAGATAGATAGATAGATAGATAGAAAAAGAATAAACAGGAATATATAGATATAAACAAATATAGATAGATATCAAAAGAGATAAATTGTTATTGTTGTAGCATACCTAGAGACGATAATGGGTACACCCCCAATCACATAAACACAGTAGTATATACTGTATGTTGGTCTGCAGTTGGAGATTCGTCTCCAGCTCTGCTGGTCAAATTGCCCCCGGGCAGAGAGGATCCCCATACGAGAATATGTCGATGGGCAGAGTCTCGCCTCGGTAAACAGCTACGGGGTCTACGAGGAATGTTTAGCCGATCCTACGGACTCGGATACTCCACATTAAATTCGGCCTTGTGCCACAGCTGACCACATGGGGCGGATTGTAGATATCCTGTAGTTTGAGATTCATTGTGGAATTCAATTGGCTCATTTCTAGTAGTTGTGTACTACTTCTACACGCTGCTAGCGAATCCTGTATGTGTTGTTCATATCCTAAATATTATCGCTCATTACCAACATTCGTTTGATTATACTATTCAGTACCCACCACCCATGTTACAATTGCTACCAACATAGATAGATAGATAGATAGATAGATAGATAGATAGATAGATAGATAATGAACAAAGATAAATAAAAATATGGACTGGGATAGATAATAAGATAGATAGATAATGAATAGATAGAATGAATAGATAAAAATGAACAAAGATAAATAAATATGGACTGGGATAGATAGATAGATAGATAGATAGATAGATAGATAGATAGATAATGAACAGACTAAGATAAATAAATATGCACTAGTATAGATAGATAGATAGATAGATAGATAGATAGATGATAGATAATGAAAATGAAATAAATATAAGATAAATAAATATGGACTGAGATAGATAAATCATAAGATAAATAAATATGATAGATAGATAGATAGATAGATGATATAGATAGATAATGAACAAAGATAAATAAATAGAAGATTACTGGGATAGAATGAACAAAGATATAGATATGATAGATAGATAGATAGATAGATAGATGAATTAGATAGATAGATAGATAATGAACAGACTAAGATAAATAAATATGGACTGAGATAGATAGATAGATAGATGATAGATAGATAGATAGATAGATAGATAGATAATGAACAAAGATAAATAAATATGGACTGGGATAGATAGATAGATAGATAGATAGATAGATAGATAGATAGATAGATCATCCTGTGAGGTGAAAGATCAGGAAATAAGAAGTTTTTGCAACAAAAATTGTGGGTGATTTCCAGTACTGATGGGGGCCTCCTTCCTTACCTTTTATTTGAATTAGCGTGGAGTGTCAACATTTTCATGTGAACATTATTTTCTCTTCGAGTAATATGTGCTATCCATTTTAGTTGTCGTTACTGTTGGTGATCTTGAATTAATGCGCTTTCTGTTACTTGGTGCATTCTTTTGTGATTCTGCAAAACCAGTCCGCAAAATACAAAGATGAACGGTCCTCCCTAATACTTCCAGGCTTCATTCACTCAAAGCAAATTTTAGTCATTGATTTGAGAAAGCGGCTGAATATAGTTGCCAGTTCATACATTTCTGAATAGGAAGGCCATCTTACATGAGATCCAAATGAAAATCTTGGCCACATGAAGGTATTTAAGAGCATGACTATTCTATGTTCACTGATATATATATATATATATATATATATATATATATATATATATATATATATAAATGAAAACCAGGTAATCCGAATGGGTAAACCCTAAGGAGGATAAAATCCAGAGAGCTCAATGTAAATCCAGAGCAAATAATTTAAATAAAAACAGACCACTTTTAAGATTCCATGTAATAAATTATTTCACCACAGTCCTTTTAAAGGACTGCGGATCATCAGACTTTACTTCCAAAAAAAAACAAAATGAAAAGAAAATTTACACATTTTTGACGGGCCGTATTAAACATATGTAAATTAACGTAGTGAGGAAGTGTGTGGGGAGAGAGAATAGATGAGTTAGTTAGCAGATACTGACATATCTAAACGGTCCTTTTTCATCAAAGTCCTTTAAAGGGCCGAAAATAATTTATTACATGGTACCTTAAATTGTTCTGTTTTTTTTATCGTATATATATATATATATATATATATATATATATATATATATATATATGTGTGTGTGTGTGTGTGTGTGTGTGTGTGTGTGTGTGTGTGTGTATGTATGGTCAATTAAATAATCAAGTAAGAGATAACCTTTAAGATTCCGTGACTATAATTTATTTCTCCAGAAAATATATTTTTCCTGGTTCATCAGGTCACATCACTAGTTACCAGACGATGCTATTATATTTGTGTTGTCAGCAAGTATGTTACAAATAGGGTCCAGGAGGTTTCCATGAGTATTCATATGAGACCAAATTGAGCTATGATCAGAAAGATGTAGTGTGATTCTTCGTGTCAAACATGTTGTAGTATGGCCTATATATTGTTTACGAATTTTGATTGATCAGGAATACAATTCCTTAAGGGATACTTAAATTCGTAAATGATATTTGCTCTATTTAATTTTGTTCTAAGAGGTGAATTGTTATTTTAAACTATAAGGTTGGAGGTTTTGAATTATGTATAATAAATAATTACTCTACTTTATATAAATATAATACCATCATCTACATATAAAAAATGGCTAACAATAATGAAAACCTTACTACTAAAAACAAAAACACCAGCACTCAATATCTTTCAACTATGAACATGGACACAATATTCTGACCGTGTTTTGAAAACGAAAACATTATATAAATAAATACATACAACAATCTATTTCTAGTTAACAATTAATATATTTAAATCTTGGAAATGATTAAATGTATAGCTGAAAGCTCTTGGAAATAAAGAACAGTTTTTATATAATATATCATTCGGAAAAAAAAAATTATAAGATCACATGAGAAATTTTATAAAAATCTAAATCAAAGCACCTTATCTATCGTATTCAAAATTTATGTCATGGTTATATATATATATATATATATATATATATATATATATATATATATATTGAACAATAAATGCAAATTATTATGACAAAATTAAATGATTTTTGTATTATTTGATTTAAATTGTAATGAATGAATGTTTCGGGTTGTATATTAATATTGTTTGACTCCAATTTAATTATTATTTATATTTATATTTATAAATAATGACTCAGTCCGGCCATTTGTTTGAAGGGAAAAAATTTCTGCTTATTTTAAAATTTTTATGTGACACCATCCTAGTTTTAAATTTTTAATATTTTATTATTTTATGCCTTATTATTGTCAATTAGGTTCATAATATTTTTTATATATATTTATAATCAAGAGAAGGAAATCCCTGCTTGTTAGTAGCAGTGAACAACAGGAGGGAATGGCTGTCTCTGAAGAAAGTTAACTTATGTTGTTTTGTAGTTTATTTCAGTCAGTCTTTGTATTAGTTAAATACTTCTTTGTTTTGTTTTTAAAATAGAACCTGGGAGATTCCCCAGTGTCAGCATTCCCTCCTTTGTCATTTTGACAGTTTTATTGTTTGCTGGGAAGGTGATGTTAAGAATATATGTTATAACATAGTTTTAATCTTATCATCAGGTGTATGTGTATATATTTGTGTGAATGTGTGTATATGTGTGAAAACTCAACACCTCTGCAAGATTGTCTGTTTTAAATGGGTAAGAGGTAAAATGTTTATATATATATATATATATATATATATCATATGTAAATATAACGATATCGAGTTTTAAACATTGTTACATTTAAGGTGAGGCCTAGAATCTTTTAATGAGAGGAAAAAACAAAAATGTATAGTTTATAAATTTATATTTGCTATAATATTTAATGCCTCAAGAATATTTTTAAAGAAATTTTAGATAAATCTGCAAAAAATAAATTTGCAATGATTAATATTTATTTCTGTCATATCCAATATTTCATTTATTTATATAGAAATCATATACATTCCATAAAGAGATATATATTAGTTGAGATTTTATTTATAAATGCAAGGTTTCATTAGCGCCCGAATGTTTTCTCCTTTTGTTTATAATAACACTTAAAAAAAAATAATTATTAAAACATTATTTAGTGATTATCCCTTTAGAAAAGATCAAATTTAAAATATATATAAATATAATATAAGATATATATATATATATATATATATATATATTTGTTTGTTGTATAACACACACATACACCATTTATTCCGTTTGAGATGACTTTGATATCACATTTAGAAATACAGATTGACATTATAATATTTATTACAAATAGCAACCATAAATAGCCCAGTATTGTTGTCAACATTTTACAAGACACAAATTAACAATTCACGACAGCGATAACTCAGTTAATTATATCGCACGTGATGTATTTATAAAGTCACCGGCAGCCATAAATAAATGAGAAATAATATAGATGAATAAAAAATTGAATCAAAAAAGAAATATTCTTACAAATGTTGAAAAAGAAGTTTTACAAATTAATGAAATAGAAATTGATAAAAAAAATAAAAGGTCAGATGAATATATATGATATATATATATATATATATATATATATATATAAAAGAAATCATCATAGAATTAATTAAGTACGCAGCAGAATAATACATTATTGATTAAAAGAGAGATTTTATATATATTCTAATTTCAAAAATGCGCGTTTTTTTGTATTTTATTTTTTCGAAAACCGTATAGATGGGGTAATTACCCGGATTATGTTTGAAAAAGATCACCATGACGCAATTCACTCCGCCCAAAATCTGGAGACAGCATGTGGTACTGCTTGGCATTCGCGCCGGAAGCTCCATTACGAACATTTCATAGTGTTTTGGTGTCAGTCTGAAGACTGTGCAGAGGATTCGGAAAAGAACTGGATGATATATCCAGTCAACCTCATGGTGTTTGGAGTGACCACTAGCGATGGCGATGTTATGCCTCCAATAATCTTCCCACAGGGCCTCTCAACATGGGCTACATCATGTGCTTTGAGGAATTAGGACCCCAGTTCATTTTGACTATACTGAAAATCGGACCTTTGTCTGAAAACAAAAATTTTGCAGTATGTTAGACAAGCAGTTTTAAAACAGAGTCATTGACTGTCAAAATTTCTGCCACCACATCACCCCCACATCTAGCCACCTAACTTGACAGACTGCAAACCTCTTGATTAATATGTGTGGGATTTTGTTTGAGAAAGTGACCAGCAAAAACTTCTTTTTCTACACTAAAGATGAATTTTAGGCAAAGAGACTGTCAGAATAGATCTAAAGATTCAAAATCGTCTGAGTCCGACGCCAATGATGAATTGAAGGCAAAAGACTGTCCAGAATAGATCTTTTTGATTCAAAAATCCGTCTTTAGAATCCGACGCCAATGATGAATTGATTGCAAAGACTGTCCAGAATAGATACGAAGATTCTGAAATGTTTGAGTCCGAATAATGATGAATTGAAGGCAAAGAGACTGTCCAGAATAGATCTAAGAGATTCTGAAATCGTCTGGAGTCCGACGCCAATGATGAATTGAAGGCAAAGAGACTGTCCAGAATAGATCTAAGAGATTCCCAAATGCGAATGAAAAAGAAATGCCAAAATCAATTTTATAAAAAAATTTAAATATTTCAAGATATTTTTTGTAATTTTGATGCATATATACGACATTGTAACCCGGATATAAGAGATAAAGGGAACGAAGAAGCAAGTTTCTTATATCCGTGTTTCTCTTTATATCAGGTTTTTCATTATATCCGGGTTTGAGTCTCTTTTGTTTGGGTAATATGGGCTCTAATTTGAGGGACCAGATAAAATTCTAGATATCCGGGTTTATCAATATCCGGGTTACACTGTATGAAGTAAATCAGACGTCCATATTATTTCCTTTTGGCGTAATTTAGGCGACAGATGGATTGAACCCTGTAGATATGAATTTGTTTCAAAGAAAATAGGTAACAGTAGAGATAGATAGATAGATAATAGATAGATAGATAGATAGATAGATACAATAGAGGAAAATAAATAGATATAAACAAATAATGGGAAGATATCAACAGAAATAAATTATCAACATAGATTTTAGATAGATAAATGATTGGATAGATAGATAGATTAATGAAGATAGTGAGTAACAGGTATAAATAGACATAAACAAATATAGAAAGATATCAACAGAAATAAATTATCAACATAATAGATAGATAGATAGATAGATAGATAGATAGATAGATAGATAGATAGATAGATAGGTCGTCCTATGATGTGAAACATCAGGTAATAAGTAATTTTGCGAAAAAAATTGTGGATGAAAAAGAACGGATGGAAAGAAGGAGATGAGGCGACAGAAAAAAAGGTACAAAGAAGAAGAAGAAGAAAGAAGAAGAAGAGGGGTAGGAGGAGGAGGTGGAGGAAAGAAGAAGGAGTAAAAATGTAGAGGAAGTAAAAGTAGTTGAAGTAGCAGTAGTAGTAGTAGTAGTAGTAGTAGTAGTAGAAGAAGAAGAAGAAGAAGAAGAAGAAGAAGAAGAAGAAGAAGAAGAAGAAGAAGCAATAGTTTGAAAAAGAAAGATTGTTCGATAAAAAATTAACTGAAGAATGACGCATTAAATATGGTTCAATGGCTCATGGTATAATCCAAGAACAAAAAATAAGACTACCGCAGAATTTGCCAAATTTCAGAAAAGTGAAAAAAAAAAAAATGGTCGGAACAATGATAAGCAAAATTATTCAAAAGTTAATTCGAGAAAAGAAGACCGATAATGAGAAATGGAAGAGAAAAGAAAACAAGAAAGATACAATGTAAGTGAGCAGTGCGAGGAAAGAAAGATTGATCGATACATTTGTTATTTATTTTGTTTTTTTTTACGGCTTGCCAACATTTTGCAGGTTATTTAAAGCCAGAAAATAATTTTAGATTGTAAGGTTTTTCGACATAATAATATTTCACTGATACAAGCCCCACCAATTATCCCATAATTAATGGAGGAAAAGAGGGAGATTAATATTTTTCCCAATGGTATTTGTGCATATAAGTGAATATAATGAACACGACTGGAATTGGAACTCGGCTCCCTGATTTTCAACTCCCAGCCATGATCCATTACACATCCAACATAGTGATTTTCCAAGCGTAAATTATTTGTGTTTAAGGCCGAAATTATGGCACCCAGTGAGAATTTCAAACTCATAAAAACGTAATTGTTCTAGCGAGAAAGCTTGCTAACCATTACACCACCTCGAGGTGCCTATTACGCAATCAACATAAAGAAACTTCCAAAACCTGAAAAATAGTCGTCACCCATCTGGAATGAACTAATTTCAATTTTGCTTAAAAAGTACTCGAATTTGTTATTTCTAGCTATTTTGATATTTATTTAAATTCATTTTAATTCTATTTTCTTTTCATCACTTTTTATCTCCTTAATTCAACATCTCTCATTTATTCTTTCTCCTGTAAAATCATGAGTTCTTTAATGACCTTAAACCTTTTTATCTACTCCTTTAAATATAGTTTTTTTCTCTATTTTTGTCACAATATTTTTCTTTGAACAGGTCTCATGAACTCTTTCTGTTTTCTTATTTTCATATACTCTTTTTTTTATTAATCATCTTCCTGTCTTTCTACGTGGTATGTTTGTACGCCCGAAAAATGATGCAAAATGAAGAGAAAAAAAACATCTTAAGTTAAAAATTGTGGATACATGAGAAAATAATTGATGAAGTATTTTGACTGAGTGAATCGACAAAAGAAGGAAACAAAAAAGAGACGAAGAAAGAAATACAAGAACATAGAGAGATGCGAGAAAATCAGAGAGAGTGAGGCTAAAAAGAGCAAATGCAGAGAAAAAGATATTAAGAAAGATAAAAAAAAAGGATTAGAGAGATTAGAGCGAAGCATATAAGAGAGGATGTGTGTGAATAAAGATGTAAGAAAAAGAAATGAAAAAAAGAAAAAAAATCGACCGTTGGAGAGAGAAAAGGAATAAAAGTGAGAGTGTTTAGATCGAGGAAAGATTTAATAAAAGGAGAGTGATGATATACCGGACAACGAGAGCAATATTATAAATTGGGAGACAGAAAACGATGAAATTAGGAGAGAAAGAGGCCAAATATTTCATATAAAATCAGAACAAAGCGAAACCAAACAACCAAACAAAAAGTATTATAACACACCTACCGACGATAATGGGTACGTCCCCATTCAAATAAATACAGTAGTAAATACTGTATGTTGGTCTGCAGTCGGAGATTCGTTTCCTACCCTGCTGGTCAAACTGCTTCCGGGCAGAGAGGACCACCAGACGAGGCTATGCCGATAGGCAGAGTCTCGTCTCGGTAAACAGCTACCCAACCCATTTTTATATGGGGTCTACGAGGAATTTTTGGCTGAGCCTACAGGCTCAGATAGCCCACATTAAATTCGGTCTTGTGTCACATCTGACCGCGTGAGGTGGTTGGTAGTTATCCTGCAGTTGGAGATTCGTGTTGTTCTTGTCCCAATTATTATCGTTCATTACCAACCTTCGTTTGAATATTCTATTCAGTAACCTTTCCTAGGTTAAAACAAAAAACATAGAGATAAAACGCCAGGTGTGAGAAGGAATGAAAAAAGAAAAGAAAAGGTGAGAAAAATAAAAACCGATGCCGAAAAGTAATTGAAAAACAGGATTAAGCAAGGTATATTTATATACCAGCTGTAACATCAGAATTGTCCAAATCGTGTAACCGCATAATTATCCATCCCACAAAATGTTTACTATCTAAAAAAAAAAAAAAAAACTGAAATAATGGAGTTTCTATTTTCCAGGTTTTCAGAGAAGACGTTTAGGCAACTTGAGACGATTTATCTTAAGAATCACTGAAAAATTATTTGAATTATTCAGCGAGAAAAACAAAAGGTTAACATTGTTTT